TCCTTGTTTCTTTTACAATAAAGCTCCGAGTGAGGCAGAGATACACCGCTATAACGTATGGGCTTAGCCACTCTTTTCAACCTCGAATTCGACTGTAACGGTTACGACTGAATAGTCCAACTGACTGTCCATACAACTCAAACTGTGGTTGAGCTATCATGCGAATTATTTTCTCTAATAAGTTTTGGAATCTGTGTACGTGTCCTTGTCGTACGAAGAGTTCTCCCATCATGTCCCCTAAACTTTCGACAAAGCGAATTTCATTTATTTTTCCAGTCTTCTGGCACCTCCCGGTCTGATGATCAACGTCCCAGTTCATCCGCAGAAACACCATCCACCAATCCGCCGCCTGCATCCAGTCCAGAACCCTTATGTATCCCACCGGCTACAGTGGCTGCCGCTATCGCCACTGCGGCAGACATTGCAGCCGGAGGGTCAGGGCTTTCCAGTATATCTTCCGCTGTCTCCGACAGTCCCGAGGTTGGTTTGAATGGGGACGACGTATCTGCGGATCTTGATAAACAACAACTTCGTCCTGATCCTCAGTTGAACTCCGCCTCCTCCCTTGCAACAACTAGAGCTAATTCCACGATTCCTTCATCCATGTACGATTACGAGTGTATTCCGCGGTGGGTGGTGGACAGCCACTACCGTCGTCTCATGGAGATGAACGACGTGCCACGTGATCCGGCAGAGTGGAATGCAACGCAGGTAAGTCATCGTTTCCGTAGTTGTCGCAATACACTGGTCTGGTATCCAGTACTGTCACTGATCATTCCGATGGGTTTTGGTTTTGACAAGAGGCCCAGCTGAGTCTCTCGTTTATGCTGGTCCACCTCGACTGAATGTGCTGCACCAGGCCACCTTATTTTTCAGTTGGAACGATGTTTGAGCTATTGCTGGGAACTCTGTCCTTGGGGCTCATCAGGTGGATGCAGTTCCCGGGTTTCCGTCAACCTTGTGTGCTACCAAATGCCCTTTAACTAATTTGTTTCGTCAGTTCATTTCCCTGTTGAACTGGCCGTTTGATCGGCAGAATACGGGCTGGGATTGATGGATGTCTCGTGTCAGGCGGCACACAAAATATCAAGATGATAATCATCGAAAAATTGCATTTCTATAACAAATGTGGCGCCAGTGATACCTTGGTTATAGGCACCCTGAACAGGAAGCATGTCCGTTACAATGCATCGATCCATTCCTGAGTGTTCTCTCGGAATTCACAGACGTCCACAGGTTCCGTCCTCAAAAGCGCGGTATCGACAGGGTCGGACATATACCCACTCAAGGTTATGGACGATTCCACGGGCAAAATATGTCAGGATCTGCACAGAGAGTGAAGGAACCCTATCGAATATTCGGATGCAGCAAGTGATGGGTAAAAGTTTGATATAACAGACCCACGAAGATATGAGAAGCATTCAACCTGTCAGTCACTCGGCTGTCATGTGGTGTTTGGTCACTTGAAACAAGTCAAAACTGACTGATGATTAGGTGAACCATACCTGAGCGTTTTCAGCTGACAGCTGCATATAGCGCGTAATCGCCCTATCATTTTCCCAAAGAACACGAAGAAACCATCTAAATATTGCTGGAAATCCTCATGAATAACACACTACTAGGATACTACTTGTAAGGCGCCATTCAAACATCTTTTCAATTTGCTGAGGGCTGCTGTTTGACTGGAGGTTGGCCTCTCCTTGCTGCTCCACATGTGTTTTCATGGTACTCTCCGTTTTCCAGGTAATTATGTGGATCAACTGGGCTTTCAAAGAATTTCGGATAGAAGGCATAAAGGGCGAGAAAGTGTTTGACATGCCCGGAACCCAAATGCTTGAATTGACTGCCGCCGACTGGCGTCGTCTCGTGCCAAATGTTTCAGTAAACTTCCTTACTCACTTGGAGTTGCTCAAACGATGCAAGAAAATATGTAAGTCCCTGTTTATCCAAGTATTCTTATTGACAAGGTGTGGATATTCTGAACCCGTACAGTAGGGGACGCAGTACTCTCTTCACCTGTGTGTGTGTGTGCGCGCGCAACGGAGGTCGATTTTTGTACTTTGTTGCAACATCACGTTCCAGATACGGGATGTAGCCAGTTTTTCTTGGCCGATTGGACTTTCGTTGTACGAACAATTGATGCTACTCAGAGTTCATAGGTGACACATGTACACTTGGGACCATTGAAAATCAGTAACACACGATAAATTACCCTCTCCCCCGTTCGTTTTCGTAAACAGTCTGGTCCGTTTAGAGGCTGCGACAATGCTGAGAAGTCGAATTCAAAAACAACACCAGCCTGGTGCATTCCTTACCAAGACCGACTCAGTTATCATTTAGGGGTTCGTAGCAAGAGTACTGTAGTTCTCTGTGGCTATCCGAATCAGCTTGAAATTCCCCTAGTTCTCTCACCCTGTCTCAGAGGACGCATTTATTTCGGTATCGTAGGTTGGGATTGCTCGGCAGTTCCGCCCTTGCCATGTACGTTCGAATTTTCTAATAGTGGAATAGGATGCAGGTTGGTTGCGGGAGGTGTATTGTTCAGTTTCACCTCCACATGCATCAACTAAATTTGTCCAGCCGGTTTCTAGCGCCTGTGGCGCTACCTGACTGGGAAGTCCTGACAAGCGAGCTAATCGATCGTCACAACCAGGACAGCTACTGGGTCGTCGTTCGATGAGTCGGGCACATCAATTACATCGCTCAAGTGAGAACACGTTCGCCCCATTCAGATGCGTCCAACGTGCGCTGGTGGAACACGTTCGATGCATCCAACGTGCGTTAGTGGAGTAGTGGTCACACGCTCGCCTTCAATGTCAAATGTCCGGGGTTCAAATCCCGGTACGGCCATTGGACATACACTGCTGACGAGCTCTAACAAGAGCGAAACTCGAGTCCAGTGCTCCCCCCCTTGGTGTCGATAATTGCGCCAGGACAGGAGGGCGACTGTTCAAAACGAGAGTGATGTGAAACTGAATGGAATAAGAGTTTTGGGACCGAAATGGTATGATCTTCCATGCAACGTGTACTAAAATTTTTTTAGCCGGAGTGCCATGGTTCAGCCGTCCAACCCGAAAGGTCTAAATGTGGTTCATCACTCCTGAACTGGCTTCCAGTGCAAGTGACTTACATTAAAGGATTTCAGCACAGTGCTAATAACTCCATGTGCGCAACTGTTCTTACATTGTATCTTTCTGAGTTCCTCCTCTCACCCACCGCATTTAAAGACACCACCGACCTTTTCAATTTTTCTCTTGCTGGCTGTTTTGGAGACTTGTCTTCCACAGAGATCTTATCTGTCATTTTGGCTTACCATCTGGGACTCTTGGTGGAGTACCGATACCTAACTCTAATCCCGTGAACGGAAGCTCAACAAGCCTAATGAGTGCTGGCTTAGTCTTGGGACGGTGAGCGATGTTTCTCTACCTTACTGTGCGCTGGTTGTATTATGGTTATAGAGTTCGATTCACAACTGATCGGTCCCTTCTGCCACAGTTACTTTACTGACTGAGTAGGATGGCAACCCCGTGGGGATGGGAAATCACCTAGGACCACTGGGGAACGACTTGCTAATTCACCGAACCGATGAAGTTCCTCGGTTTCTACTCTGTATAGCTTGGTCAGCACGAAAGATTCCGTAGTGGTAACACGAAATAGTCCCGAATAGTGGAAAGATGGCAGACACACCTCGTCCTTTTATTGACCCATGGTTAAAGTGTACCGATAGAGTAAGGGAAAGCCGTCAAGTGCACCCACTAAGTG